TAAAATTTTTAGAAAATAATAAAGATTGTCTACTCACTAGTACCTAAGGGATTGTATCGTAACGTAGCAACAGGATAATTTGTAAAAATTATAAAATTAAAATGTTCCACAATATGAATTTAAATTTGTTGGCAACTACTCCCGTAAAAGAAAAAGAAGAGGAAAACAGTTATTAATTCGAACATTTTGGCAACAGAGAGAAACCAGACGAAAACCGTACAACTAGCACTTTTTTTAGAACCTGAACTCGATTTTTGGTAGTTTTTGAATCGGCTGTAATCAGATATTGTTGTTTTTTAAATGATTATCCTTTTAGGTGCTACTACTAGGTAGATGGTTGTACGGAATTTTAGCGATATACTTTGGCGCAATTGTTGGTGCGGTTTTTACAATCGTCAGCCATCGTGAAAAACGCTGTTTTTACGTATTTTGCGTATTCGAAACTTTAATAAAATAAATATCGTTAAAAATAATGGATTAATTTTTTTGTTGAAAACGTTGTTTTAAAAAAGAATGGCAGGCAAATGTAAATATATACATTTACTACGAGTATAAAATACTAAAGTAAGGTTAAATTATTACTGTCAAATAGCAAAGAAATAGAATAAAAACACCACTATAAAAACATTGCGCCAACGTTTAATTGGATTAAAATATTGCGTAAATTGAATATCGAATTAAAAACCATCATACCAACATTTAAAAAGGATTAAAATATTACTTAAATTCAAGTATATAAGAACGCTTCGTACACTAGAGATAAAATGACAGCAATTAATTTATTGCGGGTACGAAAGGAGGAATGTCTAATACTTTTTTACCGTTACAGCGTTTATTTCTTCCACCGTAACCACAATACCATATACGGCCGGGTTCAAACCGCGTTGTGTGGTGTACTAGCGTGTTTAGTGTTGTTTCATTGTGATTTCTGTATTTGGGCGGTAGTGGGTGGCGGTCCACTGTCGAGAGGCTGTTGTCTTGCTTTTATGCTAACGCCATTTTGATAGTGTAAAGGTTCTACTTCCACAGAAAGTGCTTAACTAAATGTATAACTAACATGTTCTATTTCTAGATACCCAGTGTAGCAGTCGTTGGAGAGAGAGGCTACTGGAGGAAAAGATCTCACTGCCTGTGATCTTCAAGCCCAAGATTCAAGATCATCTTTAAAGTGGAGCCTTCGCCCACGAAGACAGAATTTGATACTGCCCATCAACCTGGACACGCACTCTATGTTATTTGTTTTATGTTTGTTATGCTCTTGTAAATGTATTATTATGCTGTGTCTGAGTCTTTTCTGTTAGGGTCGCACAAACAACGCGAACATATAAGAATTTAGGATTAAAATATTTAAGTTAAGAATTTTCTTTCAGGATAAAATATTTAAGTCTTCTAATTTCAGGTTAAAATATTTAGGGTTATTTAATTCTTTCGGGTCTAAAAATCTAAGTTAATTTTAAGGTTCAAAATCCCCTGAAACCCTCTTTGAGGTTTGGGGTAGGTAAATAGTGGTATTATAAGTGCCCTTGGTTCTCTTTGAGAAGTGGGCTAGGTAAAGGTAATATTTAATCTCCAATAACGAGTTAAAGTTTAAGATTAAGTTAGGGTAATTTCTGCTTGTTTGTGTGTGCTCTATGTTTTAGGTTAAGTTCTTCGGTTCCAGTCGTCGGAGTTAAGATTTTTAAGTCGGTTTTAGGGTAACTCTCGGATTTTAAAATATTAAGTGTTTATTATTCTGTTAAAGAGAATGCGAATACGTCGAGTTCGCTGTCCGTTTTTTCTATATCCTTACATGTTTCCGATACAAATTTGTCCAATCTTTGGCGTTTAGACACCTTGGGGATTTTAAGAGGAAAACAAAACGAAAAGTGTCTTGGAAGAAGAAACCCGAAAACACTTCTTAAAAAGTGTAAAACAAGATAGCTCAGGGAGATATGAAGTAACCCTTACCCTTTATTTTAGATAAATACGTCTTATCCAGTAACTGCGTACTATGGCAGAAAGGCACCTCGTCAAAACCAAAAGTAAACTAATTAACACACGCAGAAGAAAAGATTACGACAGAAATATTTGATGAGTGGGAAGCGAAGAACATTATTGAGGTAGTAACTGAGGAAAAGGAGGAAGGAGTGCACTACTTGTCACACAGACCTGTATAAAGGAGTCTAATGAAACTACGAAGATACGACTTGTTTTCAATGCATCTGCACGTTCTAAGAATTCACCTTCTCTCAATGATTGTTTCAGTAATGAACCAAATTTTAATAGAAATTATTCCACGTATATTGAATCGTTTTCGAAAATATCGCATAGGAGTGTCATCTGACATCGAAAAGGCCTTTTGTTAAATCAAAATAGCAGAAAAGGATAGAGATTTTTTAAGGTTTCTATGGTTCGATAATCAACATAAGTTTAAAATTTATAGACATAACCGAGTTAGACTAGAAGAGAAACACGCTAATGTGACAATCAAAATCGTAAAAAACAACCTTGTATTTAGCGTAGGTATAATGAAACACTCAATCGATTTCGAGGGCAGCTAAAGGTCCCTCCTCATCAGGAGAAAGAAATACACAGAAAGAAGAAAATAGGAGAAGGAGTCACAGAAACACGTGGTCCTTATCAGCACTGCACGTGGTTATAACTAGATTTTTAATCAGAGTGCACTGGCCGCCTACTTTTACTGAGCCAGGCTATCTGATCAAGCATAAAGAAATATTAGCGAAGTTAAAATAGGGAGCGAGGGGCAAATGCACCTTACGCTCAAAATCTGAACTTCAAATAATGGAAAGCAACCACTGAACGGATTTTTATATCCTCTGGTAGTACCAAACGCGAGGAGGTAACGCCATCTATCGGCAAAAATAACTGAATTAAGATAGTAGAATTTTTAAAGGCATTAGGAAGGACTGGATTGGACTTCAAATCATTAACTAAAACTTGCTAAATCTTTGTGAATGTGAAAAGCCTCAAGAAAATCCAATTCACCTATGGAAGAAGCCTTTTGGATGATTTTTGCAGACCCAAAATCAAAATTATGGTTAAAAGTCCAACTATGATACGCTATTGAAGACTTGTTAATTTCGCCTTTTTTTGACATAAGATTCATGTTCCTTGATACGAACTTCAACGCTCTTTTTGTTTGGCCAATATATCTTAAACCACACTGACACGATATACTATAAATTGCCCAAGAATTCAAGACAGAAACGCAATCTTTTTTTAGAATCGAAGGGTGAGTTTTATTAATAGGGGAGAAACTGACTTGAAAATTGAATTTCTGGAGAATCCGTGCAATTTTATAGCTAACAAAAGGATAAAATGGAAGCACGACAAGGTCATTAATATTATTTCTAACAGTGGAATGTCTTCTTTGATGGGAATATGAAAATTTTTTAATGGCTTTATCAATAATCACGGGAGAAAATCCACGGTCAATCGCAACTGCTCTCAAATAATTAAGTTCATTGGTAATCAAAGATTCAGAGGAACAAACTTTAAGTGCGCGGAAAACATAATAGTAAAAAAAAGCCATTTTTTGCTTAACAGGGTGGCATGACTTGACATGGGGTGGTAAACAAACTGCAAAGGGTTTACGGTACACAGTGGTGCTAAACATCGGTTTCATTCATTGCGGATTATAAGAATATCGAGGAAGGGGAGGGAATTGTTGGATTCAATTTCAAGAGTGAATTGGATGGCTGGATCAATTGAATTCATAATAGATAGAATCTCGGATAAATCCTCTTTATAACCGTCAAAAAGTACGAAAGTGTCGTCAAAATACCGAATCCAAAGACGAAAAGCTAATTTATCAAATAATTTCATCTCAAAATAGTGCATATAAATGTCAGCAAGTACCGGACTGAGAGGATTACCCATAGCCAATCCTTCAACTTGACGAAAATATGCATTTTTCGTCAAGTTCAATTTCGTCAGTCAGAAATTCAATTTTCAAGTCGGTTTCTCCCCTATTAATAAAATTCACCCTTCGATTCTAAAAAAAGATTGCGTTTCTGTCTTGAATTCTTGGGCAATTTATAGTATATCGTGTCAGTGTGGTTTAAGATATATTGGCCAACAAAAGAGCGTTGAAGTTTCGTATCAAGGAACATGAATCTTATGTCAAAAAGGCGAAATTAACAAGTCTTCAATAGCGTATCATAGTTGGACTTTTAACCATAATTTTGATTTTGGGTCTGCAAAAATCATCCAAAGGCTTCTTCCATAGGTGAATTGGATTTTCTTGAGGCTTTTCACATTCACAAAGATTTAGCAAGTTTAGTTAATGATTTGAAGTCCAATCCAGTCCTTTCCTAATGCCTTTAAAATTCTACTATCTTAATTCAGTTATTTTTGCCGATAGATGGCGTTACCTCCTCGCGTTTGGTACTACCCAGAGGATATAAAAATCCGTTCAGTGGGTTGCTTTCCATTATTTGAAGTTCAGATTTTGAGCGTAAGGTGCATTTGCCCCTCGCTCCCTATTTTAACTTCGCTAATATTTCTTTATGCTTGATCAGATAGCCTGGCTCAGTAAAAGTAGGCGGCCAGTGCAACTCTGATTAAAAATCTAGTTATAACCACGTGCAGTGCTGATAAGGACCACGTGTTTCTGTGACTCCTTCTCCTATTTTCTTCTTTCTATGTATTTCTTTCTTCTGATGAGGAGGGACTTTAAGCTGCCCACGAAATCGATTGAGTGTTTCATTATACCTACGCTAAATACAAGGTTGTTTTTTACGATTTTGATAACCGAGTTGTTTTTGGACTCACATCAAGTCCGTTTCCGCTAGCCGCTACACTTAGTCACCTTTTGACGACGGTCTCAGCAAAGTTTGTAAAAACTTCTAATATTTTGAAGGATTCATTTTACCTCGATAATTCGTTAATTAGCTTAAATCACGTAGATGAAGCCGAAAATTTCGTGCAAGAAGCAAGATTGATTTTGGCTTCAGGACATTTCAATTTGAGATGTTGGCGATCAAATTTTTCGCATTGACATGATCGATGAGATAGAGAGCAAGACGAAAGTTGTCCCAGTATTAGGATTAGTATGGGATTTAGAAAAAGATAGTTTGAGTTGCAAGATCGAAGAAACATTTAACTTGAGGGAACCTATTACCAAAAGAAAAGTTTTGTCAATTACCCAGAAAATTTTTGATCCCATTGGCTTTACTGCACCGATAACTGTAATTCCTAAGCTAATTTTGCAAGAAACATGGAACCAGAAGATTAAGTGGGATGAAGATCTTCCTCTTCCCCTAAGTGAGCAGTTTGGGACTTGGTTGAACCAATTGCCTCTGCTATCTCAGATTGAAATTCCTCGTTGGTTAAATATTGATTACGAAAACGAAGATACCGTAGTGCTCCACGTTTTTTCGGATGCTAGTAAAAGAGCCTATGCCACATGTGCATTTTTAAGAGCTGAAGGTGTAAAGGTTCAGTTAGTAAGCGCAAATAGCTCCTATTAAGGAATTTACGATTTCACGTCTTGAACTTCTCTCCTGTCTGATAGGTGCCAGGCTTGCCAAAACAATTTCTATCAGATTTGAAACTTAAGAATTGTAGAACAGTGTTCTGGAGTGATTCTTCTACAGCTTTGGGGTGGATAAGAAGAGATCAAGCATGGGGTACGTTTGTTCATAATCGAGTACAAGAAATAAGATCGCTTACCAGAATATCTGACTGGAGGCATGTACCTGGAAGTTTCAAACCAGCGGATTTCCCATCGAGAGGATGTACTATTGAGCTATTACAGAAATCGGCATGGTGGGAGGGTCCATCGTGGCTTTACCTACCAGAAGACGAGTAGCTCCATGTAGAAGAAAAGCCTAATGAAGAACTTATAAGCAAAGAAAAAAGGAAACGATTCTGACTCTTCTAGATCATGGAGACAATTTGGACTGGTACTACAAATACTTCTCTTCATATAGAAAAACCGTGAAAATGCTCGCTTGGATTTTTCAGGTTTTATCATAATTTAAAGAACGAAGATAAAAACCTAACTCCTGATGTCTCAGTTGATGAATTGGAGAATGCTGAAAAGGCACTTTGTAGATTGGTACAGAAAGAATCATTTACAGGCATAAACGATCCCGCTATTCGTGCGCTGAGACCAATCGTAGACCAAAATGGAATTTTAAGAGCCAAAACGAACGTCCTACAGCGTCAAGATAATGAAAATTTCCGATATCCTATCATTTTACCTTCAAAACACCTTCTTGTTGAGAGACTAATTTACGAGAAACATCTAGAACTCCAGCATGCTGGTGTCAGCACTTTAATGACAAATCTTAGAGAAAACTTTTGGATATTAAAATCCAGGAAAAGTATTCGAAATATTATCAGAAAATGTGTAAGATGTAAAAGATTTGTTACACAAAGAGTGGAAGTCGAGCCAGGATTTCCACCCGAAGACCGAGTCAGAGAAGGGGCGACTTTTGAAGTCGTCGGTGTAGATCTAGCGGGTCCTCTCTATCTCCGTGAGGGGTCTAAAGCGTGGATAGTCTTGTATACGTGTGCCATTTATAGAGCCATTCACCTCGAACTAGTTACTTCTCTATCTACAGAAACTTTCATCCAATCTTTACGTAGATTCATTGCCAGAAGAGGTAGAGCTTATGTGACATATATTCTAACTATTGTTGTACTATAGGGATTGAATGCGTATCGAGATCAAATTATATTGTACGCTACCTACTTCTTCTGTATCACATCACTACCTGCGGTATTGTAACATGACTTTGTCATAGAGAATATCTAGTTTATTACACTGACTTTCAATATGTTGCTTTGTCAAATATATGTACTTGGCTATGCAATGTATCCCGATCCATTGTTAGTCTTCTGAATTAAGTCGAATTCTGAATGCTTTACGCATTTCCCATGTATCAGTACTTCCATCACCACTGATGCTATTGTATTCTTTTATTTTTATTTCTCTTGGTATATTCTCTGTGTATTGCTGTAATCATTTACATTCATTATTTCCTATGTCTTTATTTTTATGTTATATTGTCAGTCTAATTCTACTGTCTATATTTTACTCATTGTATATTATTGAGCTGCCCAACATCAGACTGTACTTTAGCTTATGTATATTCTATATTTGTGTGTATTACACCTTTGTAAAATTTTTGCTTATTGTCAAAACTCGCCCTTTTTGGCCCTGCATGCTTTTGTTATTTTATTTAGTAAATGTGGGGCCTGGGCGGTTGTTGGGACTGTCTTTCGTGGGCATTTGGTCTGTTGGACTGCCCCCGGGTTGAATTTGGCTCTGGGTTTGGGCGCCCGGTGCGTGGCGTCTTGTGATTCCTCTTTAGGCTCTAGATATAGGTGGACGTGGTGCTATACCGATTAACCTTTTGGTAAAGGGACAGTGCCCACGTCCTCCGTTACTTATCGCTTATGTGACATATTCCGACAACGGAACTAATTTAGTAGGGACTAACAGTATTCTTAAGAAAGTTAATTGGAACACCCTATGTTCGGCTGCTTCTATCCAAAGGATACGATGGAAGTTCAACCCTTTAAACAGGATTTCCGAACGCCACCTGGTGGGGAAGTTGGTGGGAGAGGCTTGTGCGAATGGTAAAAGAAAATTTAAGAAGAGTATTAGGTCGAACGTCCTTAAATTATGAAGAATTATATACTGTATTATGTGACTGTGAACAAGTGATTAATTCGCGACCTATCAAATACGTATCAGACGATAATCAAGATCCATCACCACTGACCCCTATGGTGTTCCTCCAAGAATTGCCGTCATCAGGAGTTCCTGATATGGACTACGTAGATTCCAATGAACTAAACCGTCGAGCCAAATACCGACAGAGAATAAGACATGATCTACGAATCAGATTTCGTAATGAATATCTTGGTCAGTTGAGACAACAGGCAATAAAGAAGGGAAAATTTCAACAGTTGCAAGTGGCGATGTCGTTATGTTGGAAGACAGCCAGAGACGACGCATACATTGGCCTTATAGTCGAGCTTTTCCCCAGTAAAGACGGGATAGTTAGACTAGCGAGGGTCAAGACAAGAAATGGAACTCTGCTTCGTCCAGTGCCCGGCTTTTCCCGTTGGAGATCTCTACATCCGAATCCGTTGGCCCTCCGTTCCCCGACAGAGCACCTCGAGATAAAAACGAACAGGCAATTGGTCAGGCTGATCAGGTTGCTAGTATTCGAGAACCTGCCGCAAGTCCTCGAGTCATGACCAGATCTGGACGAGTTGTTCGGCCTCCTCATCGACTGGACCTGTGTGTATTGAATTCCTCCGCATCGTCTGATCTCATTGGTGGGAGGTGATGTTACATCTAAACTCTGGACTATCAGCGCCGCCACATCTAAAATCCGAACTATCAGCACCATTACATCTAAACTCGAAAATAATCCTACGGGAGAACGTAGTTAGAACTCTGAACCCGAGCGCGTAATGTTTATGTAACCTAATAATTGTATATAAAATGTATAAATTTATGTAAATATAATATCTTTATTTATACAGAAGTGTAAGTCTTTATGCAAAAGCTTGGAATTATTTAGATATATCATCGAATAAGAATTTGGAATGGAACAAGCTCGGCTCCCGGGTGAAAGAAAAGGTAAGAGATCTTTTTTTACGTTTTAGAATTCTATTGAAAGATACAACACTACGTATATCCTTGACCTTCCTCTTCTTATTCATAAATATCAGGCATGCAAGTGTAATTTCTCCCATATTAGGACAGATCTTTTTCAATGTCCTTCAGTTGTGACTGAAAACTTACTTTAACTATGTAAATTCTATCTTCTTTTTGTATTACAAAGATTATTTAAGATAACATTTTTTATTTATTATAGCATTTCAGTTTTGTAGCACAATCAAATTAACCTACTTTGCAGTTCTTGATACAGATACCTATAAATCTCAAAGTAAGGCATTAATTGTGTTAAATTTTACATACTGCACATGTGAATAATTACAGGAAAAGTTATATAATTTCCTGTTTAAAGCTATGGAAAATTTAAGGATGTTATCAATTGGACTGGTGCCATGGTTTTGGAGCTAAGAAGGATTTTGTTCTAAGCTGATAGCATTTTAAAAATGTGTATAATTCTGATTAATAAAACGTCAAGCCACAATGTCAGTGATTTAACCTTTTTTCCCTTTAATATTATCAGTAGGAAATATTCAATATAAAATTTCTCATCCTTTTGTAGAATACTTTTCAATACTGAGATGCAAGATTGGAACCTTTGTGAATTTTCTTCTTCCTTGCTTTATTTATAAAATATAACCTATACTGTACAATGATTCTATAATGCATTTTATTTTAGAATTTCATTCCTTTCTACATTTAACATTGTAATTTACAATGATATGTTTTACTATAGTGTAGTTTAATAATAATGAGTATTCTGAATAACTATTTACATGGCCTCACTATAAAAATTTCTAAAATATTAATCTTGATGTTTTTAAAAGATGTAATTGTTTTTACTTGAATTTTGCATTTATGTTAAAAATAAGCTTTATCTAAGCAAATTGGAAATTTTTTCCTATATTAAAAATAGATAGCCAACTTCTTGCATTACATAATTTAAATTTGTAAAAAAAATTTAATGTGATTTTAATAATGTAAGTCTCATAAATTATGTTAAAGCAGAATTTACTTTACTCAGTGTAAATCAGAGAACACTTTTTTTATGACTCATAGGTCCACCAGCGACCGAGCGGTAAAATCGCTGAACGCTGGTAGTTCCGATTCGATTCTAGGTGACTGGGCTGCCTGCATGGATGTTTTCATTGTTTACCCTATCTGCAAGGTATATACGACCCAGTTTACCCATAGAAAGTCCTCCACAAAGGCATTCCTCCAATTAGGCAGAGAGTCCTAGTGTGCTTGACTATAATCAACTAAACCAAACCAAACCAATGACGACTCACAGTTCAAAATATATCCAATATACACTGCTCGACATTGAAAATGCAACACCAAGAAGGAGTGGTCAAAAAGTGATGAAATTTTGAAAAAAGACAGAGACAGCAAGCAACAATAAGTGACCTTTATTTCAAAATGATAGTCAGAATACAGAGCGAGAACGTCGTCGGTTCAGTAGAATGTAGGACCACTGCGGACAGTGATGCACGAAGAAGCACGTCTAGGCATAGAGTCAATAAGAGTGCGGATGATGTCCTGAAAAATGGCTCTCCATTCCCTTTCAACCATTTGCCACGGTTCGTCTTCTGAACGAGGAAGGGGCAGAGTCTGCAAAAGGCGTCCAATCACATCCCACACATGTTCGATTGATGACTGGTCAGAAGAGTACGGTGGCCAAGGAAGCATCTGTATACCTTGCAGAGCATGTTGGCAGATGCGATGGCAGATGTGTTGTCGGGCGTTATCCTGCTGAAAAATTGCATTAGGCAGCCCCTGAATGTAGGGGATTGCCACCGGCCGCAGTACATTATCCAAGTATCGTTGGGCCGTCATAGTGCTCTGAATACGAACTAGAGGTGACTTGGAATCGTAGGCTATAGCGCCTCAAACGATTATGGCACGTTGTCACGCGGTGGGCGTTCCACAGTTATTGCCAGATTAGATCTGTATCCACGTCGATGCCACACACATATGCGGCGACTGTCACTGGATAAACAGAAGCGTGACTCCTCTGAGAACACGACGTTTCGCCATTCTGTCATCCACATCGCTCCAATCCGGCAACATTCTAAACGTTGGAGTCTATGCTGTGGGGTCAATGGCAGTCTTCTTAACGGACGCCGTGAGTGCAGGCCACGTTCAACCAATCGACGAGAAATGGTTCTGGTCGACATGGGAACATCCAGAATATCTTGCACATGCAACAGAATCGCGGTACAAGTGACTTGCGGGACCGCCACAGCTTGTCGGCGGATGCGTCAATCCACCCCATGGACCTCATAAGAAATAGACTAACCCAAATGGGATTTCTCCCTTGTCTGAGGCGTTCCTGGCTGTCACCTTGATCACATCCTGAGGAGTAGGGACGACTTGCAGAAATTTAACAGTGGTTGCCTGTTAATAAATTGCAGCGTGTTAATTGTCAAGAAAAAGCTGGTTATATAGCGCTTCATTTCACAAATTAGAATTTCTACATATTTTTATTTTTGAAATTGAGATTGATTTTTAAGAATTTAGCATATTTATTAAGCATAATTAACGTTCCAAATAATTATAAAGATATTGCATGCTTTCACGGCTTTTAGCTCTTCCTATGCTGTAAGGAAATTTGCAACTACTTCTTTTAAAAAATAATATTTTAAATCTGAACTAATAGAAAATTTCAAACAAGCAATTTTCTCTTGCAATTTTTATGCTTTTTATTGGTGAAAATAAGTAAAAAATACTAAAATATTTAAAAACGAATTTTTAAAAGTTTTGTTTAAAATTCTAAATTGTGCTACTTTTTTAAAATTATAGATGAGTATTATAGCACAACTTCTATAAAGGAATTTTATTTCAATTATATTTCATAATACATCATAGTGATAAACACTTTTGACTCTTTAAAAATTTTTACACATTTAATTCTAATATTAAAATTGTATTTAACCGTAATAATTAATTTTGCTTATATTTTATAGTGATTTTTTTTTTAAATTTATTTTTAGTTTTGCATAAATTTTTTTTAT